TAAATGTTCTGCTCGCGCTCGTGCCTTGAACATATTTATCAACATTTGGAGGGAAGCTGTATAGAGATGGTATCACGATTATGACGAAGGACTTATAAGTACTGATCCAGAACCACCCTGTGGTTGGATTTTTGGCCACTTCTTGGCATCCGGAGTACAAAAATGTAAGAGCAGCTGGGGATTTCAGTCAAGTTCAATTTGTCACTTATGGGTGTGAAATTAAAACTGGTAATGCAGGCTTTACAAAAATATACTTCAAGTCGAAAAACGTTGCTATAGATACCCAAATGACTGTTCGGAGACAGCCATCTCACTCCGGTAAAAACACCCGGACACCAGAGTAACATGAACCCATAACTTTGGCCCGGAAAATTAAGAAGAAGGGTTTATTAGGACAAAAACATCAATGAATTGCAACATAAGCTATCATATTTTGCAATCATATGGGTTGAAGCTCATCAAAATCCATAAATACATTGTATTGTCCGCCTGAGTCAGCGGAGTGACTGACTCAGATCTCTTTTGACCGGCCCACACGGGGCTGTCAGGCATTGCACTTGCGCTGGCTCGGTAAATCAGCTGAGAGTGCTGCCCTGTCTCTATTATTCGGCTGGGACGTGCGGGCCTCGTGTGTTTTCCGGAAGGTGGAGGGCATGAATGTTTAGCCGTTTTTAAAACCAGTTTTCTGGTGGAGCGTGAGTGACGTGACCGTGGTGGAGCGTGAGTAGTGTGATCGTGGTGGAGCATAAGTAGGTGGCCGCCTGTGGCACGTTCATTTGCATTTTTTTGTGTACCTTTTTTCTCTGGCTGTGCGCATCGTAGCCACCCTCCACGTTGGAGGGTGTATAAGCCCGGTGCGTAGCCACCCTCAATTTTGGAGGGTGTTTAAGCCCGGTGCGTAACCACCTGCCTTTTTGAAAGGTGGTTGCCACGCACAGCCTGTCCTAAATTGCAAACCCATATATATGCACCTGTGTTCCATAGCACAGAGTCTGAGACCGTGTTGTGTCAGTGTGCCATGTTTAATACCGATGCTTCATTTCATTTAAAGTGTTTTTGCATGCATTACTGTACATGAAAAGTGGCGCTTTTTTAATGCCACCCATTTGCCATAATGCCTGTTATCTCTCAAAATAATCTAAATAAGATTATGACTCAAAACACCCAGATATATTTGTGCTGGTGCGTATACACCCTCCAAATCGGAGGGTGGTCACGCACCGAGCTTTGCACCCTCCAAAACGGAGGGCGGCCTACGCACCGGGCTTGTACAACCTCCAAAATCGAGAAAGACTACGCACGGGGCCTTCACAGTGACATTCCCCCTGAAAAATCTGCAGATTGAACGAATTACTGAAATTATGAAAAGCTAGAGTTGTGAATGAAAGAAAACAGGCATATTGACTATAAACATTAGACGGTCAACTTATATCAATTTAATTAAAGCCCATTTTCTGTACTACTGAATTATTGAACTTCGAGCCCGAGGGCGCGGTGGCCGAGTGGTTAGCGCATCTGATTATCGCGCATTGAACCCGGGCTGTAATACACCAGGGTGCAAGAACAGTAACGTGATAAATATGGATGCCCTCATCTCATAACATTTGAATGGTGACATAAGTAATGGTCATATCACAACTGCATGAAAAGAAAAAATTCCAGTCCCTAGTACTGGACAGTGACGCAGTTTTCTATGTCCGTAAAGAAACTCCCTCCTTCCCACATTTGGGTTCCTCAAAGAAAGAAAACTAAATTCGAGGATAAACTTGCTTGTTGCCAGGGGTGGATCCAGGATTTCGTCAAGGGGGGGGGGAGCACGCAACATTGGGGGCCCCTGAAGTTTGGGGCCCCCAAAATATCCTTGCATTTCGGTCATTACATTTTCAGACAAATCGTATGTTATATATATATATATATATATATATATATATATATGCACTCACTTATTCATTTATCTCATAAATACGGAAACCCATCTTACTGTGCACGGCCCTGTAACGCTAGGCGTGTTATCCATACACACACAGAGGACTCACTCATTTTCTACAGATCATGTTAAATGCTGTAGTTTTGAGGATAAGTGCTTTGGAACAACAGGCAAAATAAACTTGAGTTGGTTGCCAACAACCAACAAAATCAAGCATAGACCTGATTTCGAGCTTGTGTATTTACGGTAAGGTGGCTGGGCGATGTAGTCAGCTGATGGCTGACCCTAATGCAAAATTGTTCCTTTGTCATAAAGGAGAACAACATATACGAACACTCAAAATATAATAAGAACGTGATGCACTGGTACAATAATTGTCACACACCGAGCAGCCCGTGAAAATGACGCATACGACGTCGGCGGCATGTAAAATTACGTTCGGCAATTGCGCGTGAAAATTAATCGGCGCCTATTCGACTGCCGCTTGGAGGCGAGGGCACCAAGGCCAATAGGGACGAAACCTGAGCGATCATGGGTGCCGCAGGAGACCAACAAAGTGGCTCCCGTCAGAAAGTATAGGGTCCTCAGAGCAAGCAAAAATAACCCAGGACCAACGTGGTGGGCCCCTAAACGATCGGTAATGCCTCGACAGGCTGACACATAAGGCCCCGGCCAGAGCACAGAACCCTCCGAATAAAGGGGAATTATCCAAGACCATGAGTTAATACCTCTATGCGACCAAGAGTGCACGGACAGGTTAACAACACAGGTATCGATAGGAATGAAAAGTCCTCCGCAAATGAGACCAAAGGGAAAGGGCCCTCGATCAAAGTAGAGCCCCTGAGCATCGAGCGTCCCCGTGCCTTACCATATAAAAGCTCCAGCAGCAGCACCAGGCCCTCCAAGCAAGTGGAAAGAACCTGAGATTTATATGAAGGCCCCTGAGCAACTGAGTGCACCCTAGCATATGGGGCTCCGGAAAAAGTGCATAGAGCCTTGCGGGCGAGTGAGAATAATCCGCGGAGGAAAACTTGGTCGATCAACAGTCCTAAGACATGCAGGCAGGTAGCGTCCCAACAGCACATTGGGCCTTACGAATAAATGGGAAGAGATCAAGGGTAACCTGGAAAGCTTCTTAGCGATCAGACTGAAGCAGCAAGTGGACAAAGTGAGCCCTATGCGCGTGCATGCCTAGCGCGCCTAGGTTTATAAGGCTGTGCATAGTAAAATGGGTTTCTGTATTTATCAAATAAATGAATATGCAAATAGATAGAAATGTATACATAAATAAATATATGCATATATATATATATATATATATATATATATATATATATATATATATATATATATATATGAATGTATTGCATGCGACTTGTCTGAAGATGTAATGACCGAAAAGCAGGTATAGTTCTTTGGAGGGGGCCCCGAAGTCCAAGGGGCCCCACAATGTTGCGTGCCCCCCCCCCCCTCCTTGACGAAATCTTGGATTCGCCTCTGACTCACGCACCTCCGCGCCAGCTACGGTGCATTTGTGCCTGTCCCGTTGTATGTTCTGTCCCGATTTTTGCTAAATGTAACGCATTGGTGCGTCACGTGCCGTGCTAATAAAGTGCAGTCATTTGCTTGAGTATAATACTGCATCACAGTAAGTCTACAACACTTTTTCCGTATCCGGGTCGTTGTAATTTGAGATTCTGCGTATACTCTTTTCGGTTCTGCGTGTAATTCCAAGGGACGAAAATAATTATATGAAAAAACACACCAGACGAAATAGTTAGATCATCGGCAAAAAATGTCAATCAAATTAGCGCAAAGGAATTTTGTAGAACAAATCTACATCTTGTAACTCTAAGAAAGCAGTGACTTCCGGATAGGCACCTCGAGACTATATGCGGTCCAAACAGTCTGCTTCCGTATGCGGCAAAATACGGTACAGAAATCGCGTCTTATGATTATAGAGAATGAAACATGAGCTCGCTTCGCCTGATGTATTCACCTGGTGTTTAATGTTGGTGTTGGTGTCTGGCGTGTTTATTTTTGGGCCGTCGTCAAGTCAGGTCTCCAGCCATGCGTCATTCACATACGCGTCATGACCCGACCTTTCTTCCTAGAATCCCGGGGATTCAAACCGGGGCGTTCTAATTACGACTCCAACGCTCGTGTTGCACAAACGATGAAGTATGAAATGGCTTTCCCAGCTGGTGTAGTGAAGGGCGCTGAACTTGCTCAAAGTATTCATGTCTGAAAGCCGATATCATCCGGCATTTAAAGGACTCAATGACACGTTCCGATGGCGGGATAATAAACTGACTGATAGTCGGGGTAATTGTTCCCAATACGTCCATATCACTATTGCCTCGCCTTAACACTCGCTAGGGTGTGGAAGTGGGTCAAAATCCCCCCCGAAGGTTTTTGCAGGATGGTTTCCGAACCCCTCGGCGAAGCCGCGCCAAATTTTGCATAGCTGTAGACAATTGAATGGCGGATCGTTTGACATAAAAGATTTAGAAGTACCTTGTAAGGTGGCTGACCCACGGCAGGTCAAAATCAGGCCATGGTTTCAGCGAAGGCAATTTCTACGGAATCGTCCAATCCGATACAATAACGGAGTGTTTGACGCATCCATACATCTCCGAGATGTTTTCTTAGGTAACATAAATATTGAATGAGCAAATTACATCGACCTAGGGTCAGGTATGAAGGTTATACCAAGGTCAAAACCAGCCTGATTTATTACTCTAGGGCCTGTTGTATGGGATAGTTTGTGGTGCTTATTTCGTATTGACTTCAGGAACCGCATTACACGTTTATTATTATTATTATACACCTCATATATTATTGCATCATGTTGGGTCAAATTGACCCCCTCACCCGAGCGAAGGGTATCTAGTCGGCCGCCCGGGGTCGTGTGAATCATCCCGTGACACGATACGATGGTTTCTTTTAGAGAGGCTCAGAGCAGACGGCGTTGGATAAAGGATTGCCAGAACGGGTTTATTCTTGTGGAGATGTAAAGCCAAATGAAAGATGCCAATACGGACGCACTCAAACGCTGCGGAAGACGAAGGGTCACGGTAAGGTTAGAGGCTCAATCCACACCGGGTCCATGGTTGGCTACCTGCTTGATTTTGAGGCGCATCGACGCCTCGGTCACACAGCACCCAATGCCGAAACTAAAGACGGCCACGCGAAGACATTTATTTGCCGCGAGAGCCAGCGAACGCCTGAGATAGATCGCATGGAACAAAACAGAAAGTTGTTTTCAGGAATGATAAAATGCATCCAACACCAGATTCCAATGATATTCAGTCACAAATAGCACACCACCATGGGATAGTGTCAATCTCCAGACCAGGCGACATTTAGGCTGCACCAATATCATGCATGATTCAGGACTAACTCATTAATAAGTGCTTATAAATCGGTTCTTCGCACAGGTACACAACCCTAAAAAATCACTCGCTGATTGTACGATGTAGCTGGGCCACGAGCACGAACAATCACGGTGAGTGGTAATGGTGGCAGGTCATCGGTCGGCAGGTCAGCAGTAAACGATGGAAACAGTAGTTGCCTCTACAAGTTGACACTAATTGCATGGGGAAATTACAGAGCTCAGTTTCACAGATGGCACTTCACTTTGGAAGAAATGCGCTGAAAATTCTGAAAGTGTCAGAAAACCCCAGCTTCCTAGCACATGAACCTGCAATAACACATGCACATCGGCACCACTTGTCTTGCGGCATGACCCTTAAGTTGGTGCATAATAAACATTCACTGGTGGACTAGTTACAACACAGTGCGGACGGCATATTCACGTCACATTGCAACATCACGGGCAGCGGGTCAGTCGTCTTGGCCTGCGCGGCGGGTCCAGTACACAAGGCAAATCTTCACAAGGGCGCCTCGTCCAGAACGCTACCTTTTCAAAAGGTGTGTGACGCACAGCGCCACGAAACGGCAAGTCGGCACCACACTCCCCACCTAGTGACGCTGCGGACCGCGTCACTAGAAGTACGTCTGGATCGCTTGAAAGTGTATCTGGTTCAGAACGATCAGCGCAAACAAGGCCACGTATCCGACGTACCGCACGGCTGTCAGGAACTCCTGAAAGCAAGAAAAACATGGAAAAACGATCTTACGTTCGATCAGTTTAAAGTACCACGGGCCGTTCGCGTAATAATTCTTCATGCACACGTCTGGGTCAAGCGTACACAATGAACGCCTGAATCGGTAATGCAATATTCTATAAGTAGCAATAGTGCTTGCCTCGAGCCACATTAACCATCTGCCTGCACCGGTTCAACCAAGTTTATTCTCACAAAGCTCGCCAAAGCGTTCTCGAATGTGAAAACATGACATGTCCAACTCACCCACAGTTTGTCAAAGAAAATGGCTATCAGAAAGCAGTGCATAATGGAGTGAAAGCAGGTGACTCGCCAGAACCACATCAGAATCCATGTCGAGGCGGCATGCAACACAGCTAGCTGCTTCACCTGGCGGCGGAAGCGGCGGCCGTCAGCAACGTTCGCCCACCAACAGCATCAACAACAACCAATCCACACACTCGACACTTTTTGACCAACAAAACTAAATCAAAACCGCTGTCCGACGCATCCGATACCATGCAATGCCGTGAAAGCACAGCACGTGCCGCATCGGTAGGCCTCAACGGCGGTGGACGGAGGGCCTAAGATGTGAATAACGCAGTTTACGCGATCATTCATTCGCGCTTGCTGTGCCATGCGACGGGCCGGCTGGAATATGACCACATCACTTCCTCGAATCTAGCTTCGTCATGTCGAGGCCAGGCACACGAGCCCCTCCCCGCACCGGGGGACGGTTTGTGTCACTGAATAAACAGACGGCCAATGGGGGAGCACTGAGTGTGACCACCGATGTGTGCGGTAGGCCGGTCGGCGCTACACGTTATGCCGATGTGACACGTAGGTGCAAAGAGCTGTTAGTTGGTGGGTTTTGTAACCATAATGTCCAAACATCTACAATGCCTTGAAAGTCACTTTTTAAAACATGACACGTATGGGCGGTTATTTTATTTTTTAAATTCAAATTTGGCCCAACATGTGGCAACATACGTTCGGAAGCTGACGTCGGCATATCGGCTGGGACACTGACCATCTAGTGTCATTACACTGGCCGTCTGGTGCCATGACACTGACCGTCTGATGCCATACCATTGACCGTCTGGTGCCACCACATTGGCCGTTTGGTGCCATGCGACTGACCATCTATTGCCATGACACTGGCCGTCTGGCGCCATGCAACTGGCCGTCTGATGCCATGATAGAGACCGTGTGATATCCGTAGCCCTGACCGTGTGATCCCAAAGCACTGACTGTATAATCTCCGCAGCACTGACTGCGTGATCCCCACAGCACTATGTGACCCCCACAGCACTGACTGTGTGACCCCCACAGCACTGACTGCGTGATCCCCACAGCACTGACCGCGTGATCCCCACAGCGCTCACTGTGTCATCCCCACAGCACTGACCGCGTGATCCCCACAGCACTGGCCGTCTTTGTAGCACTGACCGTATGCGAGCCGTCGCCGTTCTCTAGCAGGCGCTGATAACCGGCGATAACGTAGTTCCAGCCCAAGGAGGCGAGCAGAAGCTGGAAGCCGAAGAGCCAGACGGTGGTGCAGACGACGCCCGAAGGTACGGGCACACGGGGCCCGCCCAGCTGGCCCCCGCCCAGCAGGCACTCCTTGTTCTCCTGCGACCGGTCCTCCACCTGCGGCAGCCGCGCACGTGCTGGCAGCTGCGCGGCGGCACGCTGCGCCGAGTCCGACAGAGAAGCAATGAATTGGATGCCGAGCTCGGACACCGCGGCAAAATGGGCGGGCGCCGGGCGCGTAACGATGCTTCTGCGTAACCCGGCCCGTAACCCGGCACACTGAGCGGGCGCCGGGCGCGTAACGATGCTTCTGCGTAACCCGGCCCGTAACCCGGCAAACTGAGCGGGCGCCGGGCGCGCAACGATGCTTCTGCGTCAATGCCAACATTTTGCAGGCTTCTCTCCCGAACCATTGGTTGTCTTTCCTTGTGTCGGAGTTTTCTTCTCATATTGAAATAATTCTGACGAGTTTTGGCATTCGAACGGGACCCCCAGGTGGTGGGTGGTGCCGCCTGATAGTGCTTCCATTGTCGCAGATCTTGGGCATACTGTGTTGCGGCCGAGGGCTAGGTACAAAGGTGGTGTACTTCATTTATTCGGTATGTACTGGGTTTGAAAAACATCCTTCGGATCCCAAATTCTCGTTGTTCCTGGAAACAATATAATTCAAATTAAATTTTGCTTTCCAGTTTTAATTTTTTCAGAGGGCAGAAATGTACATAGGCACATGGTACTACTGCTGTGGCTACGAGGAAGGACGCGTTGACACATCTGCAAGACCACCATGACAAATCTTACAGCAATGGGGCAAGCGAAATGGTAATAATCGTGGGTAGTCATCGTGTAGATCGTGGATATGACACAAAAGCCCCTGAAAACCACCATGTTTTCGCAGTAGTGGGGCTTGAGTACTTCAATGATCCCGCGGGCGGCTGGAGAGGCATGTATAGCGCTCCTTCCGGCAAACGATGAAGAGCCAGAATAAGTGCCATGCATCACAAAGCACATCCCATGATACCACCCACAGTTCAACAAAGTGCATGCAAATCCAATGATCACTTCGCAGATTTTGATGGCAAAATTGCCGAGCAGTTCCTTATATAGATTGTATAACCGTTACGTTAAAATGCCAAACCGTTTTTGCATCTATGCTTGTTGGAAATAATCGGCTACCGTAGGGCGTTTCAAGTTACCTTATAATGATTGAAGACGTAAAACCTCGACTTATCAGGGAAAGGGAATGTGTCCTACGGTTTCTTAAAGACACATCTTCGGTACGTTGCGCAATCGCACCGCGACTTTCGATAACCTCTGAGACATCTATTGCGCCGCGAATTTCGATAACCTCTGGGACATCTATTGCGCCGCGACTTTCGATAACCTCTGAGACATCTATTGCGCGTGTTTTGACACAAAAAACGTGTTCCGAGGGATCGACAGGGCCCTGTATTAAAAACGCATATTCAAACACACATATAGTTACTTACCATCGTACCTAGAATAAGACAATGAACACGCTTGTAGAAATTCCATGTCGCCAAAAGGGTAAGTCCTGTACATATGCGCATGTAAAGCCAAGAAATTCTAACTTCAGGACAATTGTAACTTTGACCAGGCCTGATGGGGCCAATTCTCACCCCAACGGCATACAACTTATTACTAATCGCGTGCTCCCGTATAACAAAATCCACTGTAATCTTTCCACAAGGCTCCATCCTTTTTTTGTCTGGGAACGACAGGGGCGCATCGCCCCCCCCCCCCCCCTTTGCCCTCCATGTCTGTGTAATCAAAAACAGAATCAGTGCGAGAGTTATTGCCTGGTTTTCAGTTCTGCCCAACGTGTTTTGCCGTCCCCCAAGCAGTGGCGGATATACTAAAAGACAGCAGCGCAGTCCCATCACCGCGCTGAACCAGACCAGGTATTGATACAGACCGCTGGCTTCCGCCAAAACCTGCTAATACTGATGGCTCGCGAGGTGCTTGTATGCTACTGCGCAATCGCTGACAAGGATGGACTTCCCAAAAATCATTTCTTATATAATTGCACGGGTGGTTGCACCACGTTTCCGGTTCATTTCATGTCCAATTGCTTCCTGAGCTTGCCGAGAAACACAAGTCCGCGGCAGCTTCGGTCTCAACACGGGGCCAATGAGAGATGAGTGCCACATTACGGTACATCCGTCGCGGAAGTGTTTTGGTAGAGATGGTGCACAAAAGTCGACATCTGTTATGAGTTCAAAATTTGTTGGGGCAGGGGGGGGGGGGTGAAAAACGCTCATTGGCTGCTTCGTTCTACGCATGCTGAATAAGAAAGCTCGTTGGCAGGTCCAGTTCCCTTGAAATTCACGTCAGGCTTTGAAAAATTGGCGTCTTCGACATCTACTGAGCTGAGGTAGTGGCAACGTGGTTTCGTCGGTGTATGGTGTAATCTTTACAACTCGGCTGAGAGAAGCTCCTAGAGGTCACTTGGCACCTGAGACGTATTTTTTACCAATTCAAATGAAACAAAAATTTCCAAAGATCACGGGTAACTGTCGCACTATGAACATATGGCCTTCGGTGGACAGTGGATTGTGAGGAAGTCCGTAATTGGTAAATGCTTGGACTTGGGCAGGATGCCAGACCAGCAGGACGGTGCTTAGGGTCTGAAAAAGACGAAGGAATTAGAGGGCGATTAGTAAGCAGTCGAATAGTGTATGTTCCATCCCATTTGTGTTGCGTTAAACATGTCGGCAATCATATCATTTTCCACCTCTTCGTAAATAGCAATATTACTCCTCCACCGAAGTGGGAAGCAATTTCGGGACACTGGCTGGCTCTGCTCAGCTCTCATCTCCGTTCTTGAACTTTGGTGACTTTACGCCTCGCAACGCGGCATGGGTGGTGAATTTGCCAACAGTCGGGATCTTCTAGTTCTGGAGCATTTTCTGAACAGGAACAGCTTGTGCATTTTGAAAAAAACCGGACACTTCTCCCACCGGACACCACCATCTGACAACGCCCTCAGCCACTGACGTGCCCATATGTACAGGAATTCTGTTCGGGCCTTTTTTGGGGGATGTCGAGCACTCCCTACCAGGAACGATCATTTTCTCGTCTGCTTGAGTACCATCTCCTCACGATCAGGCATTTGGCCGCCCCGTTAGGACCTGCATAGAGCCGATTGGACGGCGCTCATTGGTGAGTGTTGCAGAAACACCCAGCCTTCAGCTGGCGACTCCCTCTCTTCGTTTATTAAAGCCATTAACTCGGCAATCACAGCTTCTACAAAGCAATCCATGCCTTTCCCGACTGATAAGCCAAAGTGCGTGCCAGTCCCTTGGTGGAATGAAGAGTGCGGGGTCGCCAGACACAATAGAAAAAAGACGTTTAAGCTTTCAGTCGCTATTCTAAAAGAGCTTACCTATTACTCTTTTAACAAGCACGCGCGCAAGCCAGGAGGGCCAGGACAGATCGCCGTATCTGCCGCACGTGGCGAGCCGGGCGCAGATCTCCCCCACGTTCGCCTCTAACAGATCACTGATAACGCCGGCCGCTCTGTTCACCATACGATGTCTGACGGACGGTCTGCGCAACATCCCGAGCGCACGGACCTTTTGTTACATCTCAGGTTAGCGCTCTGCCAGCCGGCGGCGGCTGGGCTCTATCGCTCGGCCGCTCGTACAGGCGGGCTGCGTGGCCGAGACCAGCCAGCTCCCTGAATGCATGCTAGGCCGCTCTGGCTGGCCATCACATCCCGCCGCTCACGGCTACCAGCCCGCGGCGCCGCCGGCGCCGCTCACGTTGCACAGCCAACTCTAGCGCACCACACGGCGAGCGGCCGCCGCGAGTCGCTGCCGTCCGCCGGCTGCGTCGCCGTCACAGCCCCCGTCGCGTGGCTGTTCCCGGAGCAGCCAGGCACCACCGTTGGCGCATTTCCGGACGCGGTCCGGGCCGGCAGCGTCGCCGCCTGGCACGTCCACCAGATACGCCGCCGCCGTCCGGCCGCCCCGGCTCGGCGCCGGCCGGGGCGGCGGTGTCGGTGCCGCGGTGAGGCAGCCTGACCGCAGCCGTCTGGGATCGCAGCCGTGTCGTCACCGCGCCGGGAGAACGCCGTGCTTCTGAGACAGGCCTCTGCGTCATCACGGGCGGCACCTGGTCGCGCCAGCTTTGGGCACCGTTCGCTCCGTGCCGTTATCAGCACGGCGTCCGGCCCAGCCGACCCCCGCCCCCCTTCGCTACCCACGCAGCACACCTCAGGCCGATAATGAGGTCGGCCGACCGGGCCAGTGCCGCCGATAAGCGTCCGGCCGCCGTCACACCGACCAGTGCCGCGCGTGCTCCTCCGGCCGGCGGTCCACCCCGGCCGGACCCGCCCGGGGCTGCCGTGGCTCGATGCCGCCTCTGCCAAGCCGGCCCCGGCTGCACACCGGGCATCAGTGATGGTCGGCAGCTCGCAATACCGCACGCCGTTTTGCGGCCTTTCCCATCAGCTGCTTTGCGACGAATGGCCGCGCCGGCGTCCAATCACGCTCCGGCACGGCGGCAGCATGAAAAGGCTGGCTGCGGATGGCCTTGGCTCGGGGCCTGTCGCATCACGCTCGGCCGGTTTGCCATGCAGCTCTGTCGCCGCTCACACCGTCCAGCCAGTCCCGGCGGGGAAGACCCGCGGAATGGCCCATCACGTCACAGCTGTGCTCTGACCTCACCGTAGTGACTAATCAGGGGTGTTGGGCCCTCGCTGTAGAGAAAAGTGTCCAGTGTCGTTCCTCATCTTTTGTGAAGCCCGACACTGGACACTGGGCGCAAAACACGCAGGCCAAACGACACTGGACACCGAAGCCCAGAAATGGGGCTGCAAAATTATTTCGCCGTCTGCCAACCGCTGTGCAAAACGCTAGGTACGTGATGCGCTTCGTGGGAGATTTAGTCTTCAATTATTCTGAGGTGTTCGGTTGAGCTGAGTCTTCGTTACTGTGCTGGTTTGGAAATTATGCGTTGGCTGAATTGTGGGCTTCTCTTTCCCCATCTAATGCTTTTTCTTTTTAATGATCTTCGCTCAGGCTCATGGCTCAGGCTCATGAAGCAGTATTGGAAAATAAAACCACAAAAGTGAGCCAAACTGTCGACCTGGGCCAGCGTGGTGAAGACTCGACGGGAACCACTGACAGCTGGTGTAGATGGCGTGCACCTGGAGCGCACCCAACCAGGCGTCTGCACAGATGGAGTCCGCCGGCCTAACACGCAAGCAAACATCTCACAGCTGAGGCAACGGGCGCAGTAACTCCAATGGTCTCGCCTAGCGGCCTGCCTGGTGCGCTCGCGAGCCACAGGGCGCCACACCGGGACACAGGGTGACGGGTCGGCACGCGGCATGCATAGCACGACAGATGACGGTTCAGTCCGCCGCTTAGCTCGGTCGGGGGCAGCGGCTCTGCCTCCTAGCCTACTTGAGGCGGGGTGGGTGGGTTCGAGTCGCTTCGGCGCTCGCTAAATGTGGCCGCAGGCATCCCCTGGCTGGGACGGCCTGCGGCGGGGGCAGAGGCCGCGCAAAGTCAGGTGAGGTCAGGGGCAGGGCGGACGGTACCGAAAATTGTCGCGAGTTAAACTTCCGACGCAAAATCGTGCCGCTGACCTGGAATTTCACGATCGGATGGTGGGGTCAGGGTGACATGCGACAAGCGCAGCTTGGCGTTAACTCTGAACCCGCAAACCCATCCGGACATAATGTAAAGGGGGAAAGAAAGAAAAGCGGGGGCAAGGAACGAGTCGACCGGGACAGGGAGCCTCACCTTGGAGCAGATGACCGGCAGCTGCAGCACGCGGCCGCTCTGGCGTGGCGGGTGCCGCTTCAGGTATACCAAGCATACGAACAGCAGCATGACGGCGCTGATGCCGTCGCAGATGCCGTCCATGTAGTATCCGATGGCGCCGACCTCTGACTGCATGGCCGGGTTGGCAGCGCGCAGGCGGGCCACGAAGCCGTCCAGCGAGTCCATCCACTCGCCGATGAGCACGATGGCGACGCCGGTCTGGCGCAGGCCCAGCGGCTCCAACAGCAGCAGCCGCAGTCCCGGCACGACGACGAACACGCGCGTCACGCTGATCACGTTGGGCGTGACGAACGAAAACAGCGTGGTGAAGCGCGTCACCTGGGGGCAGCGGCCGGGGCTGGGTCAGGCTCGCGCTGCGTCGGCCCATCAGACACAACCGCCCCCCAAACACAACACCGTCGGCCACCGGCAGCGGCACGAAACCGGAGGTGTGTCCGCGGCGACCCGTAGGACAAAGAATCTATGCCGTCGATGTTACCCATGACGTCATACCCAATAGATTCAGCGCTGTTTGGCACTGGAAGCGACGCGGACGACAAATATATTACATGAATTTGCGCATAATATTTGTCAGACGCGCATTATCTTCTACGCGACTCGACTGAAGTAAGAAAGAAATGGCAAGATGTTTTGTTGTAAAAAGGTCACTTTGCGTGGCTAAGACCGACCACAAGTGATAACAATGTTTGATGCTTTACACACAGCATAGTTCGCGGTTTCCATTGTGAGGAGTATCATAGTACTTGCTAACGAACATCTTGCGTTTTTGTATGCATGGCTATTGTCATGGCAGTTACGAAGTGTAAACAGTCTCCAATAGTTTTTGAGCTTCATGCCCGCTAAGATGTGCAGGCTTTTCGGGGAGAATATTTCAAGGTCACCCAGGCATCCATGGCGCTATGTCACCTAAATCCTGCCATTCCAGTGGTCATACGTTGATTGAGGCCAAAAAAATACACTTGTCAATAAGTTAATATCTAACGTTCGTGAGCGCGACTTCCAGATGTAACGGCTGTCAACTGACTGTCAACTGTCAACCGACAACTGATTAATGTTGAGCTAGGTACGATGACGTTATCACACAATGACGCGTTGAAGAGCATATCCACTAAACAGATAAATTGTAAATCTTCAGATCTCCAAATGTGGAATATTCCCTTTAAAAAGCGCAGAGCTGTGAACTGCACCGAATAATCTTCAAGGTGGACATTTCAGTGCAAAGTCCCATACAATGTGGATCACTTCCTTTAATGTTGACCGTTGGAAATTGTAGGTAGACATTTAAAAATAAGATCAAAGGCATGTGACGTTGTATTACGAATCCCAGCCTTGCAGTTTCAAAAGAAGGCACAGCGTCGACCCGGCAGCTGACAGGAGGTGACGGCCAACAAGCGGACGGCCACGACCACGCGTGGCCTTTGAACGCTTCATAAAATCAAGTCGTGCGCGTGGAAGTCATCGCTTGCAACGATGCAATTCTCAGATGGGAACAAATACATATTTTGAGCAGCACACACCGTTCACGTGATGGCTGAATCTCGTTGCTTGTGTTTCACTAACTGTTGAACGCTCCATTTTGACCACTGGGCGGCACCAATTGATATAAAGGGAATGTTTCACGTTTAAGATATAGAAGCAATCATCACATATGATGCAACAAGATCACTTATAACTATTGGCACGCTTTTCAAATAGAGAAGACTGCTCTAAGCAGCACAATGCTATGTTCAGCAAATATGCTCCTCAGTGTGTCATGGATTGAATACCTTATCGTACCTTGCACAACATTGATTGGGAGCCATTTGACGACCGTTTTATCCGGAAATCGCGATCACGAACACCAGATATGAACGCCTCGACAATCGTCTTTTCTTGACCTTGATCGTCGCATGACTTATGGAATGGCAAGATTTCGCTGACGTTATTATGACGTCATGAACGCTAAGGTGACATGAAATACTCCACCCGACAAACCTTTCCCCATTTTCGCAGGCGCGTAGCTCCGATACTAAATGGTCTGAAGCCTTCGGAGGGGCAGGATTGTGAAAAGCACCGAAAGATCTGCAAGATGGCTCTTTCAGTTCCAAAATCCCATATCAATGTGGAACACCATTTAATATAATATACATATTGCATTAATATAATATAAATACTATACGTTTGGAAGCACTATTTCACGCCACATGGCCACTTCGGCGCGCCCGTGCCCGCCACCCAGTGTTAGCTGCATCAGCCAACGCCACTCGCGACACATGGCCACTTCGGCGTGCCCGTGCCCGCCACCCAGTGTTAGCTGCACCGGCCAACGCCACTCGCGACACATGGCTACTTCGGCGTGCCCGTGCCCGCCACCCAGTGTTAGCTGCATCGGCGAACGCCACTCGCGACACATGGCCACTTTGGCGGGCCTGGGCCCGCCGCCCAGTGTTAGCTGCATTAGCCAACGCCACTCGCTGCGACGAAAACTGCAACGCCGGGCATACCTGCTTTTGGTTCTAAAAATTTCGAGCGGGCGTTAGCAAGACCATTCTATGTAACTTTTTCACTAGTTTATTCCGAAAAAAGATGCACAATTTCAGGAAAACACGTGTTGGCCAACTGACAACACGGTGTTTGGCACCATGGCGATCCACCATATAGGAAACCTCTATTTTTTTTTCCGGGCAGGGAGGGGGGGGGTCTGTGGTAAAGCACCCGGGGGCCAATTAGCTTTCCTGATCAGGGTCTGAAGGGCCTGTCCGTCCCAGCCCGGAGCACTTGCCGGCTGTCATTCTGACGACGCGAGGGTCGTGGCCACCTGTTCGATCCAGACGCCCTCTGAGGATACATGATGCGTCCGCCGCTCCGCGCTGCCAGAGGCCCTCTGAGGGATACATGATGCGTCCGCCGCTCCGCGCTGCCAGAGGCCCTCTGAGGGATACATGATGCGTCCGCCGCTCCGCGCTGCCAGAGGCCCTCTGAGGGATACATGATGCGTCCGCCGCTCCGCGCTGCCAGAGGCCCTCTGAGGGATACATGATGCGTCCGCCGCTCCGCGCTGCCAGAGGCCCTCTGAGGGATACATGATGCGTCCGCCGCTCCGCGCTGCCAGAGGCCCTCTGAGGGATACATGATGCGGCCGCCGCTCCGCGCTGCCAGAGGCCCTCTGAGGGATACATGATGCGTCCGCCGCTCCGCGCTGCCAGAGGCCCTCTGAGGGATACATGATGCGGCCGCCGCTCCGCGCTGCCAGAGGCCCTCTGACGACGCGGGGGCCGTGGCCACCTGTTCGATCCAGACGCCCTCTGAGGATACATGATGCGTCCGCCGCTCCGCGCTGCCAGAGGCCCTCTGAGGGATACATGATGCGTCCGCCGCTCCGCGCTGCCAGAGGCCCTCTGAGGGATACATGATGCGTCCGCCGCTCCGCGCTGCCAGAGGCCCTCTGAGGGATACATGATGCGGCCGCCGCTCCGCGCTGCCAGAGGCCCTCTGAGGGATACATGATGCGTCCGCCGCTCCGCGCTGCCAGAGGCCCTCTGAGGGATACATGATGCGTCCGCCGCTCCGCGCTGCCAGAGGCCCTCTGACGACGCGGGGGCCGTGGCCACCTGTTCGATCCAGACGCCCTCTGAGGATACATGATGCGGCCGCCGCTCCGCGCTGCGAGAGGCCCTCTGACCGGGCACTTACACCTGGATCAACGCGCAGGCCAATTGGCACATGGACTCCAGTTCGGCTCACCACGCTCCTGACTGCAGTGGAACGAATGGGCCTCTTGTCCAGTGCTAGGGCCCTGGCTGACAGAGGGCCCGACCATCGCCTCATTGTGGACATTTTCATCGTAAGTTTTTAGATCTCATTTCATTGTCAGAGGACTCCATCCAACGCAAGACGCCTTCTTGACATTCGGGTCCCATCCCTGTACATGTTCAGCAAAGGCATCCCTGGTCCCCTCGCGGCACATTGGCAACACAGGACCCACTGTTAGACACCGCAGACCTCTCACTGTTTCAGAGCCACAACCAACATAGATCGCAGGCCCGGTCCTGTCCCTGCTTGGGAAGCCGGCCCCCAGACCCGGGCCGACACGGAGCCCACTGTTCGGTACTGGCGGTCTCTGATCGGCACTAAGGCAAACATAAACAGAGGACACCGATCGATGCAGGAGGTGCTGTGACTGCTTAATCGACATAGAGGCACACACTGACCTAGGCGGCACCGATCGGTGCAAGAGGTCATGTGACTGATATTGGGATCTGGCCCTGCAGTCCAGGACCCCTAAAGACGACCTCCGGTCAGCCCTCGATCCCTCTAATCGGGTCCTTGGTCATCGGTCCCCAGAGGCCCGGAGGCCCTTCCAGACCTAGGAAGGGGGCGTGCGCCCAGTGTTCCTCTGCGTAACCAGCTCCGAAAGCTCCGTGTTTTAAGCAAAATATTTGTATCAACATGGAGTGTAGAGGACGAAAGGCCGGCAGCACGAAGTCAACATAATGAAGAGGACGAATTGCCTATGCATGTAGCCCACAAATGACGCAATATCTGTGAGCCCAATTCATCACCCTGGACGGACGAGGGTCGCCTCAAGCGGCCCTCGGGTTTCTTATAGGACAAGTTCTGAACCACGGGACGGAAGAGGCTGAAATTCTCCACAGACAACTTCCGAACATTTTGCATCCGCTATTAGCAATCGCAGTTTCTATCCTCGACAGGTCGAGACTGGTCACTTCTCTCCGCAGGCCGCGCCCGTCGTCCTCCCGGTCGCCCTTCGCAGTCAAGCGCCCAGTAACCTTACGTACACGTCCAAGTGCCCAATAACTTCATGTACACACTCAAGCGTCCGATAACTTTATGTACACGTGCAAGCGCCCGTTAGCTTTACGTGCATGTTCAGGCCCCCGATAACTTTATGTCCACGTGCAAGCGCCCGTTAACTTTAAGTACACGTTCAAGCGCCCGATAACTTTATGTCCACGTGCAAGCGCCCGAAAACTTTATGTATACGTGCAAGCGCCCGTTAACTTTATGTACACGTACAAGTGCCCGATAACTTTATGTACACGTGCAAGCGCCCGTTAACTTTACGTACATGTTCAAGCACCCGATAACTTTATGTACACGTACAGGCGCCCGATAACTTTATGTACACGTGCAAGCGCCCGTTAACTTTACGTGCATGTTCAAGCGCCCGATACCTTTATGTACACGTGAAAGCGCCCATTAACTTTACGTGCATGGTCAAGCGCCCGATGACTTTGTGTACACGTGCAAGCGCCCGTTAATTTAATGTACACCTTCAAGCGCCCGATAACTTTATGTGCACGTGCAAGCGCCCGTTA